CTCAATATATAGTCAGCTTCCTCTCCCTTCATTGTTTTCTTCTTTTTTCATAGGTTTGCCTCCTTTCTTGATTATGCTTTAATTTTTTTTTATAGGTTTAAAGTTTAAAAAACAATGAGAAATTCATCTTTTTTACTGGTTTCTGTGAGATAAACATTTAGGTGATCTTCAAGTGATACGCTTGAGAGGTATGTCACATTTTTCCTGCTCTGTAGGAACTTTCAGTGTAGTTGAAAACATTTTGTTTTTTAAGTTATGGGATCACATTGTGGTAATCAGGCTGGACTCAAGTGATCTTCCTGCTTTAGGCTCCTGAGTAGTCACTGTGCACCATGAGTTGAAGACATCTTTTAAGTGCTTATTTTAGAAGATATGTTGGTTAATACATGACATAGTGCTATTTCAAGAATGATGTAAGATACAATGAATGAACCTAAATAGTTTAAATAAATAAATTTAAATTAGATTATATGATTTTACTGTTTTCCAGTGATTTCATAGTCTTTCTTATAAATGTAGAATCAAAAATAGAATATTATCTTTCCTTCAAGCCCTATAAAAAAAGCCCGTTTGAGAAAAAAAAAAAAAAAAAAAAAGAGAATAAAGCCCATTTCTCTTTGCTCCCTACAGATGGCCTTTTTACCCTCTATCTGCCTGCAACCATGTCACATTGCCTTTACGCAAGCCTGCTGGTCTTGGCTGGTCTCTGCCTCACGCCATTCCTTATAGTTGTGGCCAGGTGTTGAGGACACCATGGAGGAAAAAGTATAAAGCACCTCTTGGAAGCAGCAGGTCTCTCTGTCCTGTCTCAGTCTTATGTTAACCAGTCAGTTTTTTCATATCTTCTGATTTTTTGTTTTCCCTTTTTTTTTTTTTTTTTTTTTTTGTCTTTTTCCTTTTTATCGGTACCGGGGATCGAACTCACGACTGCCTGCTTGCAAGGCAGGCGCTTATGCCACTGAGCTAAATCCCCAGCCCCTATTTTTTGTTTTCCCTTTACAAAACTCACTGTTTTACCATTGTCCATGTGTTTTTATGTTTGTTTTGTGATAGAACCCAGAGCCTTATACATGTTAGGCAAGTGCTCTACCATGAACTACAACCCCAGCCCTCTCATTTCTATTTTGTAGAATGGAAACTGCCCTGATTTGTGAATCACAGAAAAAACACAATTAGATCTATAAATAAATTTGTTATAATTTGGTCTGTTGACATTCTTTTTTGACTGAGAAAAGTGAAACATTCCTTCATTAAACTGAACATTCTGTTTCTATTCTATCAGGATAGAATATTTCTGTTCTATCAGGATAGAATATTTCTATTCTATCCTGCATGCTAGTTGATCTGACCAAATAGGACTTTTAACCTGGACTTTTTTACTTTCTTCCTCACTCGAGAACTTTTCTTGATAATTTTGTTCAAGTCTTAGATTTCATGTTCCTTCCTGCCAATGATACTCATATTTTTTCAGAGGCTTTGGATATTGTCGTCAAAAGTAGGTAAATGATAGTGTTACATATTTCCTGTAAAGTACTTGGAAAATATGACTTGTTAACTAACTTTCGTTGAGACACAGCTATACAAAGTGCTAACCAGGTGTGGTGGTGCACACCTATAGTCCCAGAACTGTGAGAGGCTGAAGCAGGATTATTGTGAATTTAAGCCAGCCTGTGCTACATGGTGAGACTCAAAAACAAAAACAAAAACTACCCCTCAAAAAGCCTGAAATGCTATTGTATCTGGTTATTTAACTCTAGAATTCCTGTTGTACATTTAAACAAAAACCATGTCTGTGATTTTCCCTCCTGACTTAGAAATTAGGCCTCTAAAATCTTTCTTATAGGCAGTCTTTTTTATAGGTAAGACTCAGCACAAGTCTTAATTACTCCAATTTATTAATTTATTTTTTTCCCAAATAATGACTTTATTTTTAATACAAAAAATGGAAATTGGGAAACCCACCCTACTTTTACCCCCTAACATAATCTTTACGTCTTAAAAATAAAAATAAAGTACTAATTCTATATGTACCACATCTACCATACAAAAATGTATCCAAACTTGTATTGCTACCAAAGTTCTAAATTAAAAAAAGTTGCAGAAAGCCCCTTATTATAAAGCAAAGATTACAATTTACAAAATCAAAGTACGAAAAGGCCAGAGTCACTTATAGAACCATGCACTCTGCTTTTTTATTTTTTATGACAGGATCTATTATGTAGTTCTGGTTGGCTTTTTAACTCAGTGATCCTGCTCCCTCAGCCTCCTCCTAAGTGCTAAGATTACAGGCATTTGCCTCTATGCCCAGCCCCTAATTTCTTTTGTATAGAGAAACCCAGTGGTGGATGTATCATGTTTTCTCTCTTTCCGGAATCGAACTCATAGCCTTGTGCTTGCCAGGCAGGCGTTTATGCCACAGAGCTAAATCTCCGGCCTCGTGTTCTCTTTCTATGTGATACCAAATCCCATGAGTAGTCCTTTTTTTTTTATCGGTACCAGGGATCGAACTCACGACTGCCTGCTTGCAAGGCAGGCGTGCTTATGCCGCTGAGCTAAACCTCCAGCCCCCACTATGAGTAGTCTTGAAGAGGGAATAATAAATGTCCAAAAAAAAAAAAAAAAAAATAACTTACTCAAGGCAGAATGTGAGTCCAATAGAGTTTCACTGAAGTGTTTTTGGAGAGGCTTTAGAAACACTAGTCTTTTTTTTCCCCCCTGACAGAATCTCATGGTGTAGTTTGGGTATGCCTAGAACTCACTACCTAGTCTAGGTTGGCTTTGAATTTGCAGGCATGCTTCTCCCTCAGTTTCCTGAGTGCTAGGATTATGAGCAAATGCCACCATGTCTGGTTAGAAACTGCAGTCTTACTAGGGCAACCTTTCTTTGTGTACTGCTTTCTTATCTGTGTGAAATGTAGAAGTTCATGCTGTCTCGTTGCCTTATAAGCCTGTTGGAAGCTCAGTAACTTCTAATATTCTAGTCTTGTTTATTTTCACAAAGAATATATTTCCCCTCACTTGTAGTAGAGTTCTTTTTTTCCTTTTCTTTCTTTCTTTTTTTTGCTCTGTAGTCCAGGCTGGGCTTGAATTCACTATGTATCCCAGACTGGCCTCAGATTTTCAGAAATCCTGTTTCAGCCTCTGGAGTGCTAGGATTATTGGCATGGGCCACCATGTCTGGCTTCTTCATCTTTTTTATTTATTTAGGGTTTTTTTGTTTTTTTGTTTTTTGTTTTTGTCTTTTTGAGATAGGTCTTGCTATGCAGTTCAGGCTGGCCTTAAACTGGCAATGATCCTCCTGCCTTAGCCTCCTGAGTGCTGAGATTACAGGCATGTGCCACCGCACCCAGTTCTTATTTAGTTTTTTAATGCTAGGGATTGATCCTAGGAGCTCTGGAATACTGGTGTTCTACCACTGAGCTATACTTATATACTCAATGACTTGATTAGAGAGCTTCATTTTGTTATTTGTACTTCTTTATTTGCATTTAGCACTAATCAATAGAAATACAATACTGTGTTTCACACTTTGAGAATGTGCAATCTACCCCTCTCCCACCTGGCACTAGGAGATCGGAGTTATAAAAATAATGGTTAACAAGAGAAGCAATAGTATTTCAATTTTTTAATTTTGGTGCTTCTTGCCAAAGGACTACTTAGAATAGGTATGTGAATAATATGTGAATAAAACGTAATTAGTTTTGGGCAGTATCCACAAATTTATTTTATGTATTTATTTATTTTGTAATTGGGATGGAACTCATGACCTCACACTTGCCAAGCAGGTGTTTGTGGCTGAGCTAAATCTCCCGCTCTGAGTATTCACAGATTTAAATTAAATCTTTTAGTCAACTCATACTATTTTCTCACAACCTGTAGACCTTTATATCTGGCAAGGATTCTGCTTATAAGCTTTTTTTCTTTAGCCCCCCAAAACAATATACTTATAAACCGCTTTCAATAAAGCTGTTTTATAATTGGAGTAATGCACAGAAGGGTTTGTGTTGGTCCTCTTGAGTCTTTGGTGCCCTACCTACAAACAGGTTCTGCCTTATTAATCACATGTTTACAAGTAGTGGATCCTTCCTGCTGTTCATTTTCTTTTCTTTCTTTCTTTCTTTTTTTTTTTTTTTTGGTCTTTTTCCTTTTTATCGGTACCGGGGATGGAACTCACCACTGCCTGCTTGCAAGGCAGGCGCTTATGCCGCTGAGCTAAATCCCCAGCCCCCATTCATTTTCAGTGAATAATTTGCACTTCTCCTTGATAGAAGAGTGGAAATCTTTCACTGTTCTTATCTTTATAGTTGAAAACCTTTAGATACTCAGCATTTTAAAGCTGACTAAGGATTTTAATAGCTCAGTTTTACATCATAATTTTCTTCAACAGTGCAACTTTTATTTTTCTCTTTAGGGTTTATACTGGGGATTAACCCCCACACCCCCATGACTTTTGCACTGAGCTACATCCCCATCCCTTTTTTTATTTTGAGACAAGGTCTCATTAGGTTGCCCAGGATAAATTTGAATTTGCAATCCCTCCTTCCTCAGTCTCCTGAGTAGTTGAGATTAAAAATGTAATCCACCACACCTCGGTTTAGTGTAGCCTGTTTTAATGTTTAAAGGTTTACCTATTAAAATGATTCAAGTTCACATAGTATTAGAATTCTGAGTTACAGATTCAAACCATAGCATTGTTTTGATTATTCTCGAAAGTAGTGCAGAATACTGTTAGCACTCCTTTTGACTGTATTGCAAAGGATTTTTAAGGGCTGGCTTTTCTTTGGAAACAGCTGTCACCCTGCAGACCTTATTGTTTGGTGACCTTTGTCATCAGGAATGTCCTTGGAGGAAACAGCCTTGTGATTGTTTTTCTTAAGCCTAAAGTTTGTGATATGTTTTCCTTAGTTAGTTTTGGTTGTTCTTCAGCTTACTTTGTTTGCATTTAATTGGAAACTCTACCTTTTTAGTTTTGTAATGATTTGTGCTGAGATCTTAGGCAAAAAGAATTGTCTTCTGTCTGATATCCTGTCCTGTGGGAAGGCTTTGTGGTTTAGATTAACAGCTTCCCATTGTTGCCAGTTGCATTTGTCTCCTCCCTCAATACCCTTCCCTCCCATTCCTGTATCTTTTGCTCCACAATTCCCCTTGTGATTGCCTGAGGTCTTTTGCTGGTGGTTGAGGGTGCTGTCGGTAGGTAAGTACCTGTAATGTTAAAACTCGCAGATGGAGCTATGAATGGGTCAGTCAGTGTTCCTTTTAACAGCAATAGTTTACAGTTTGAAGTTGGGATTTTAGAAGTCTAATTTTTGGGAGAAAACAGTTTTCTATGCTGAGTGAGACACTGCTTTTTCCTCTTCTTTCAGTTGTGAAAGTTCGGAAATTTGTTTTTTCCATTTAAAAAACATTTTCCTAGACTTGTTAGAATTAAAGATAAGTGTTGTGAATTTAGTATTTTAAATTTCCTTGAAACCTTGAAGGTTATTTGTGAGAAATGTATATTTCTTTATACTTATTTTTCAGTATGTATGACATACTTGTTAAAGAAACAGATAGTATATTTTGTGGCTAATCTGGGAAGTAGCATTTCCCCACTAGTATCAGAGTCATTCTTTTCTTCTCTCACCAGAATACCGTTGGCAAAACTCATTACGATTTTTGGCAATATGTTGTCAATTATGGGAAGTGGCATCTGAGTATTTCAGGGTAACAGATGTTTCTGGGAATTATTTTTGAGAAGATGTATTCATTAGGACTTGCTCCCTTGAGGTGTGAAGTCTATAGGTCTCTTAAAAATAAAAAAATATGATAAAATTTTTTTTAGTTTTTTGAGACAGGGTCTTGTTATGTAGAATGTTTCATTTCCTTGAGTAGTATACTTTGGTCTTTAAATAAAAAATGCTGTATGTGTATTTTACTCTGAATGAATGATACTTTGGTATTTCAAACAGTTGTAAGCGATGAGCCTTAGGTTTTCTAGAAGCATTATTAACAATATAAAGCAAAATTTGCTTGTGGGTTTTATTGCTGTTTAGTTGAGTCACTTATCCACATGGAGGTTGTACTTGTAGAGTAATGATTTCCTGAACTCTTACTTGGAGGCAAGTGCTAGGTCCTATAATTCCCAGTACAGCTTTGCCAGATAAGTAGTATTGTCCACCTGGGAAACAGTCATACACAGGGAGAAAACTTGGGGTTTAAAAATCATTTTTCAGGAATGTGAGTATAATTCTTATTTAGTTGTTAGCTGTAAGAGCTAAAAGACATACCGTGAGTCCAGCAGTGTTCACTAATTGGTAGCTAGTATTACTAAGATTTTACAGCTGAAAGAGCAAGAGAGGTAAGTAATCTGTTGAAGGTCACTCAGTTGTAAATGGTGAATTTAAGATTTGAATTGGCTCTAAACCTAGAGTTTAGCTGGGTGTGGTGGCACTTGTTTGTAATCCCAGCTACTTGGGAGGTTGAGAGTCAAGATCTCTAGTTCAGCCCTGGTCTGCAAAACAAAATAAACAAGCAAACGCCAGGAAGAGTTTGGAAGCATTTTTTCATTTGAGTATTGTAAAGGTTTTTACAGTAATTTCCTTGGACTGCTGCTCAGCCCTCCGCCCCCTGCCCTCATTGCTCCCACTGTGGAATTTTTTTATTTTGGATGCCTTTCTTTGGTGTCCTCTGTCACCTTCCCAGTCATGTGCTTGCTTTCTCACACTGGAGCTGCTTGTGCCATTCAGTACCAGTGTCCTCTCAACAGAAATGAGTCAAGCTGGTGCTGTCATTGGCTTCCTCTCCCGTTTTCCTTTTGTTGATAGATTCATTAGATTTTCATTATTATTGGTGCTGAAATAATTTGAGTACTGGTGTGTTTATAGCAATTTTAAAATGATGCATAGTTGCAATCAAGTATTTTAATTAAAAAAGCATTCCTTAGTGATTTAAAAATTATGAGAAAGAAAATCGGGTGCTAAGTTATTGAACCAGAGGGTTGTATAGGTCAACTTTGTGTAACTCATGGTTACCATTTTGCTCTCCAGGGGCCTAATAAAATTCCTGTTGAAACTCCTCCTTTAACTCATTAACTACTTTGCTACTATTAGTAGTACACATAAGGTGAAAATACTGTGTTATCCTACTTAGCTTAAGTAGAATTTCTTTTTTTGTGTTTTGTTAGTAAAGTATCCTTCAATATATCTTTTAGAAGCACAAGGCATGGTTTAGGTATAATGTGATTTAGGGAGGAGATTCAGGGATGACTAGAAAGTCGATTGGTCATACCTGTAATTTATCTCTAAACTGAAAAAATGCTTTCAATTTGTTTTACAGTTTTTTCTTTTTTTTTTGCGGCGGCGGGGGCGGTTCTGAGGATCAAACTCACAACCTTGCTCTTGGTGCAAGGTGTTTATGTCACTGAGCTAAATCCCCAGCCCTCTTCTTCCTTTATTTTTTCCTTTCATTTTTTTGATTTTTTTGAGACAGGGTCTCACTATGTAGCCTAGGCTGCCCTTGAACTCTTGGTGATTTTCCTGCCCCAGTCTCTCAAGTTCTGGGGTTACAGATATATGCCAGATGCCTGCCTTCTTTTTTCCCTTTCTTTCTGGGGACTGAACCAAGCACCTTTACACTGAGTTACATTCACAGCTCATTTTTATTTCTCATTTTGAGACAGGGTCGTCTTGTTAAATTGCCCAGGCTGAGCTTCATTCTTGTGATCTTCCTGCTTCAGCCTACCAAAGTGCTGACATTACAATGTGGTCCATCTTGACTAGTTAGGAAGTTATATGTCTTACTTACTTTTCTTTTGTTACTGAGACAAAATACCTAACACCCAAAGTTAAAGGGGAAAAGGTTTATTTAACCCACAGTTTATAGAGATTTCAGCCTGTAATCAACTGGCTCCAAGGGAGAGTGACATGGCAGGAGACAACAAAAACAAGAGCTCTCTTATATTGTATGTGGGCTACCTCCCCAGTGCAGGAATAGCCCTCCAACTCCCAATCCCAGCACTAGACAATGAACCAGTTACAAACTTTAGATTCAGCAGTCTCAGAAAAAAAGTCTTTGGGGGTACACTCAGACACAAACCATAACATTATGCCAGTAGTTTAGGTGAATTTTAGTGAGAATAGTTTTGGCCTGCATTTTCCACATTTGTTGTTGTTTTTGTTGTTTTTACTACATAAGTACATTTGTGTGTTTGTGTATATGTAAGAAAGAAAGGTTACAAGTAATGATTAACCATCATAACTATAGCTACTATATATAGAATTTATTTTGTAGCTGGCCCTCAGTGTTTTCCATATATTAATTTGTTGATTGCTTTTAACAAAGCATATTTATTACAGTAGTAAATGACCAAGTGATGGAACCAGGATTGGAATATAGATTTATCATCTTCATTGTTTATTTACTTATTTTTTTGGTACTGGGTATCAAACTCATGACCTTGTGCTTGCCAGGCAAGTGCTTGTGCCGCGCTATATCCCCAGTCCCCATCTTCTTTATTGTTATCATCACCCAGATGTTTATTTAGGGGCTGAGGATATAGCTTAGTTATAGAGTACTTGCCTAGATATGCCAGGCCCCAGGGTTGATCCCCAGCACTGGGGGGGAAAAAAACCAAAAAAACCACAAAACAAACCAAACAAAACTCACATTTATTCCATGCTTACTATATAAACTCCCCCACCCCTCCAGGGTCTTGCTATGCCATTCAGGCTGGCTGTGAGCTCACTTTGTAGCCCAGGCTGATCTCGAATTTGCAATGATCCTCTTGTCTCAGCCACCCAAGTGCTGGAATTACAGATGTGTGCCACCATACCCAGCATTATATAAATATTTAATCCCTAAAACAGTACTGTAACATAGATGTTATTTATTGGTCCCATTTTACAGATTTGATACCTAAAACTTAGACTCAGTAACTCGGTCAAAATGATGCAGCTTTTAGGTAGTGGAGGCTGATTTGTGCTCTTTTACCACTGTGACCAAATTGTGTAATTTACATTTTCTTAACTACAGGCATGGTGGCATCTTAGGTTATGCAATGTGGTTGGTCCAGCAAAAGATGTACTTTTTTTTTTCTTTTTTGAAACAGAGTCTTACTGTGCACTATTCAGATTGGCCTTGGGCTTACTTTGTGGCCCAGGCAGTCTCAAACTTGTAGCCATCCTCCTGCCTCAGCCTCCCGAATGCTGAGATTACATGAGTGTACCACTATGCCTGGCAAAAACTGCACTTTTAATTACTCTGTTTTTTCTACCAATGTGCTGCCTGTCACAGAGATAGAAAAATTATCTTTTGTTAGTATAGCTCTGAAGCTTTATAATAGGGCCAGCTAGTCCATACCTCTCATTACTTAGTTTTTATAGATTATCAGTTATAACAAAGTGAAACTTTTTGGGGGGGCATTTGATCTTTTTTTAATTTTCAATTTTTATTTTTATTTGAGACAGGGTCTTACAATACAGTTCAGGCTGGTTTTGAACTTACTTTGTAGGCCACACTGGTCTTGAACTTGCAACGATCCTCCTGTCTCAGCCTCTCAAGTGTTAGGATTACAAGCATGCACCATCATGCCCAACTGGTTTGGTCTTTTTGAGACAGAGTTTCACTATGAAGTTCAGATTGGCCTTGAACTCATGTTGTAGCCCAGGCTGACCTCGAACACGCAGTGTTCCTCCTGCTTCAGCTTCCTGAGTGCTGAGATTACAGGTGTGTGCCACCACATCTGGCTTTTCAGTGGGTTTTGGATAAATTGGTATATAAGTGACAATTTTGTAAGTTCTTGTAATATGAAAAATAAGACTTTGTGTACTTTAACAGCATACAGTTCTTCCTGTTGTGCTTGATGGATTAACTTGAAGTTATCAAAGTATAAACCTTAGGAAACTGTTTGAGTTAAGTAACTGTCCAGTGAAGAGTTTAAGATAGCCACCCCATAAGTCAACAAATAGCTTGGCCTTTTTTTAATTGTTGTAGATTCTTGCCTCTGTTTTCAAGCTGAGATGAAAAGCAAATAAATATTGATTGTCTCCATGAGAAAAAGTTGTGTCAGCAGTGTCTCAAGCCAGAAACAGACGTTTGACACTTTTTTATTTACAGAATCAAAATTGTCAGGATGTACGTACTTATCCCTTTAATCAAAAATTGCTCATTCAATGGAAGTGATTCAATATCTTATGTTCAGCCTCTGTAGAATAAAAA